CACAGGGATGTGGGGCACAAGGATCAGGGACACAGAGGACAGGAGAACGGGGGACACCAAGGAAGAGAACTGAGGGACACAAAGGGAAGAGAACTGGGGGAAACCAAGAAAGAGAACTGGGGGACACTAAGGGAGGAGAACTGAGGGACACCAAGGGAGGAGAACTGAGGGACATCAAGGGCAGGAGAACTGTGGGACACCAAGGGCAGTGTTGGAGGACACCAAGGCAGGAGGGAGGAGAACTGGGGGACACAAAGGGAAGAGAACTGGGGGAAAACAAGGGAGGAGAACTGGGGGAAACCAAGGGTGGAGAACTGAGGGATACCAAGGGCAGGAGAACTGGGGGACACCAAGGGCAGAGTTGGGGGAGGTGTCCCTGCCCATGGCAGGAGTGGGCAGGAGAACTGGGGGACACCAAGTGGAGGTTGGTGGGAGGTGTCCCTGCCCATGGCAGGAGTGGGATGGGATGAACTTTAAGGTCCCTTCCAACCCAGACCAGCCTGGGATCCTGTGATTCCATGGAGTTGGAGCTGGGATGGCTCCAGGCTGGTTTGTTTCTTGTCAGACAATCCCTGTGAGATGCAGCTCCAGTGGATGAAATCCCCAGGGAAGCTCCGAGGAGACCTCAGATCCCCTTCCAGTGCCTTAAGGGGCTCTGGGAGAGCTGCAGAGGGATTGGGACAAGGCCTGGAGACACAGGACACAGGGAATGACTTCCCACTGATGGACACTAGGTGTCCCCTGGAGGTGTTGCTGGTCCAAGCTCTGCAGCATCCCAAGGGATACGTTCCCTCTCCCCCTGCTGCATCCAAGTGCAGTGTGAGCAGGGAAAAGGGCACTCCGAGAGGAGCCAAGGCTGCAACCAGATTTATTCCCTGCTTTTCCATCCCGGAGCTGTCAGGCAGCAGTGCCATCACTCAGCTTTATGGCTGGAGCGTTTCTCCTTGGAATAAACCCTTGGAGAGACAGAGCAAGGCCCCAGAGGAAACTAGGCTGGGATGTTACACCTCTCCTGTTGGATCAAAGCCCAAATCTCCTTTGGCTCGGCTGTTTATCCCAAGTGGAATGTCCCCATCCCTCCCAGTTACCCTGGGCTGGCTCTATCCCACCAGGATGGAGCTCTGGGATACTCCTGGTCATCGCTGCCCCTCCAGAATGGGATGGAAACCCCCACGTCAGGCCCCTGCCAGGGATTGGGATGCAGGACAGGCTGGAAACACTCAATTCCATGTGCCAATGCCATGGGAGAGGCTGTTCTGGCAGCATCCACGTGGTTTTCTGGGAAGGAATCCGGAGCAGCTCCTTGGCTGCAGCTAATCTGCCTGACAATGATGTTTTTGGATCTTAGATTCAGCAGGGCCCAAATTAGCTCCAAAATCCACATCCAAGCCCTTTACTCCTTCCCAAGATTCCCTGCCAGGCAGCAAACCTGGGAAAGACAACCCTAAAGATCATGGATAACTCTGGGATGGAGGGAGAAGGTTTAAACACAGGGATTGTTTTTTTCACCTCCCCCCCAGCCCAAATCCACCCAGATCCCTGTTTTTAGGGATGAATCCAGCTGGAAATCATTCCTGCAGGCTTGCTGGAGGAGCAGGAAGGGTTGGGAAGAGGGATACAGACAGGCAAACCACAAAGCTCCAGCTACAAATAGCTCAGGGAATGTGTGTGTGGGAAATTCCAAGCATGTTTGCCCAAGGACTTCAACCAACCTGGGGCCGGGAGAAGGGTTGGGAGCTCAGGAAAAGCCCTGGAAAAAACAGGGATGGACTGCAGGGAGGAGGGAAGAGGTGCTGCACCCCAAGGATCATGGGGAAAACAGAGGTTCTGGGATCGTATTGGATCAGGAAGGGATTTATTGAGCAGCAAGAAGGAACACTGGAGCACTAAAATCTTCATACAATCCAGGGTTTTCCAGGGAAATCCATGGGATGGGGGCAAGGGGATGGGGAAGCCCCAGTGACAAGGCCTGAGAGGGGATTCAGGCCCAAACCAGCTCCATACAGCCCCAAATCCCCACAGGAACTCAAAGGAATGTGGTAGATCCACAGTGAGGTGGGAGATCCATCCCTGAAGGATCAAAACCAGCCCCAAAGGCACAAACCCAACCCTAAAGGAATAAACTCATCCCCAAAGGGACAAATCCAACCCCAAAGGCACAAATCCAACCCTAAAGGGATGAATCCAACCCCAAAGGCACAAATCCAACCCTAAAGGGATGAATCCAACCCCAAAGGCACAAATCCAACCCTAAAGGGATGAATCCAACCCCAAAGGCACAAATCCAACCCTAAAGGGATGAATCCAACCCCAAAGGCACAAATCCAACCCTAAAGGGATGAATCCAACCCCAAAGGCACAAATCCAACCCTAAAGGGATGAATCCAACCCCAAAGGCACAAATCCAACCCTAAAGGGATGAATCCAACCCCAAAGGCACAAATCCAACCCTAAAGGGATGAATCCAACCCCAAAGGCACAAATCCAACCCTAAAGGGATGAATCCAACCCCAAAGGCACAAATCCAACCCTAAAGGGATGAATCCAACCCCAAAGGCACAAATCCAACCCTAAAGGGATGAATCCAACCCCAAAGGCACAAATCCAACCCTAAAGGGATGAATCCAACCCCAAAGGCACAAATCCAACCCTAAAGGGATGAATCCAACCCCAAAGGCACAAATCCAACCCTAAAGGGATGAATCCAACCCCAAAGGCACAAATCCAACCCTAAAGGGATGAATCCAACCCCAAAGGCACAAATCCAACCCTAAAGGGATGAATCCAACCCCAAAGGCACAAATCCAACCCTAAAGGGATGAATCCAACCCCAAAGGCACAAATCCAACCCTAAAGGGATGAATCCAACCCCAAAGGCACAAATCCAACCCTAAAGGGATGAATCCAACCCCAAAGGCACAAATCCAACCCTAAAGGGATGAATCCAACCCCAAAGGCACAAATCCAACCCTAAAGGGATGAATCCAACCCCAAAGGCACAAATCCAACCCTAAAGGGATGAATCCAACCCCAAAGGCACAAATCCAACCCTAAAGGGATGAATCCAACCCCAAAGGCACAAATCCAACCCTAAAGGGATGAATCCAACCCCAAAGGCACAAATCCAACCCTAAAGGGATGAATCCAACCCCAAAGGCACAAATCCAACCCTGAAGGGTCAAATCCAACCCCAAAGGGACAAATCCAACCCCAAAGGGACAAATCCAACCCTGAAGGGACAAATCCAGCCCCGAAGGCACAAACCCAACCCTAAAGGAATAAACTCATCCCCAAAGGGACAAATCCAACCCCAAAGGCACAAATCCCTCCCTGAAAGGACAAATCCACCCCCAAATGGACAAATCCAACCCCAAAGGCACAAATGCCTCCCTGAGGGTCCATGATCCCAGGAAAAGGCAGGAATCCATGGCTCGGAGCCTTCCAGCCCTGCTCACAGCCTGGAGTTCCTGCGAAAGGTTGGATCTGAGGGAAGCTTCTCCAGCCACTCCAGCAGGATCCTGTTCACCTCCGCCGGCCTGTGGGAATGGCACAGAGCTGGGATGGGAGCCAGAATCCCTGGGAATGGGAAGAATCTCAAGCCTCGAAGTGGTGCTACCTCTCCATCTGTGTCCAGTGCCCACATTGCTCAATGTGTCCTCGCTGCAGCCGCGGGATCTTTGGGAAGAGGAAGATTGGAGCTCATCCAGCCCATTCCCAACCTCTGGAATGGGATCGGAGTTGGCTTACCCATTCTTCCATGCCTTTGCTCAGGTTGGGATGCAGCACCACATCCTTCCCAGCTGTGACCATCAGCGCTGGCATCAGGATCTGCAGGGGGCAGTGTGGGAATGGTGCTGAGCCACCATGGAGCAGGATGAGTCCCCCATGGAGCAGAAGGAATCCCCCATGGAGCAGGAGGAATCCCCCATGGAGCAGGAGGAATCC